GAAAATGTTATTTATTCACCTATTGGCCCTTCTCAATTTTACTAACACTTGTAACTTCTTTTTAATCGGATTTGATCAGATAAGCAATACACAGACTGTCAAACATAGATTTCCCAAGTACACACTACATTATATAATATACACACTACCAACTCAAATAATGCTAATGCTCAAATGTACAGCCTGTAAATCGTCTCTTTCAAGCACTACAAGTTGGGCATGTTTGCAGATTCAGAGCTGATATTTTCTACCAGGGTCAAGCACTCAGGCTTTGCTTGGAAATTTACAGTGTTAAGATGCCTGACAAGTGTAAACCTTGTACATGGCATGGACAGAATGAAAAAAATGCCAATTAAATGCCATCAAATGTACATTTTTTCTGCTTTCCTCTGCTCCTTCAATAACTCTCCCTAAAAGACATCCCATTAAATCTTAAACCTCAAGGTTCTTCCCAGTTCCAGAAAAATTATGCAAATTACACCAGGGATATGGGACTGGGTTCTGATGTCAAACAGTTGCTATAGGATTAAGTTCCCTGACACCACTGAAGCTAAATTAACACTGGTTTCATAAAATCAGTGTTTTAGGATATGAAAGCTTATTTCCAGTGTGTACTGGAGTTCCAGCCCTGCAGTGGTTAAGAGAAGCATGGTAATTCTTTATTTGATTTCAAGATTTTATTTTGCTTTAAAGAAAAAAAAAATAACTTCATAACTTCATAATTTCATATACATTTATAATTTATGCTCTGTTGACTGAGAGAAAAAAGAATGAACATATTAAAATTTGATACCCGTCCTCCAAATGAAGGAAACATTTCACAACAGAATTTGCATTGTTTAGCTCTGATCATCTCCACATTTTGTTGTCATTGCTGTCTTAAACACTGCTTCTATTTCTACTTCAAGAATTGAGGCACAGCTTTTTGACAGCATTTTGATTAAATGCTCTCAGTACTGAACCGTAACTCCACTTCCTGCATTCATTCTGAACTTACTTTAGCTGCTCACTGAGGACTTAACCCAAAATACTCTTCACCATTCATTCCTACAAGACCTGCTGCCCTGCAGAGAAACCTCTGACAGTATTACCTAAGGAAGGCAGTTTTGTACATACCAGACATCACTGTTTTCTTTCATATAATTTTTGGCTAAAAATAACTTGGCTACAGAGTAAGAATACAGTATTCAGAGAGTCAGACATCAAAATGAAAGCTAAGCAGTGGATCACATAACTTGAACTCCAAGCCAAATAAAACCAAAAACCAAAAACCAAAATCAGTTAATTTTGCCTTTTTTGCAAATGTTATTTATCCTGCCAGTTAGTGATGCAGACTTCACTCCATTTCCATATGTCTGAGTACTGACATGAAGCAAATGAAGTACCATAATGATATATTTCCACCAAACTGCTTGTCTTCTTTGTAATCCCATTTTTATCATTTGTTTATATATTTTTCAGTTTTTGTAAATTATATGTTAGATTCAAAAGAATCTAAAGAATGTAAGGATCACAGGGTAAAAGGCACTGTACAGACAAAACAAATTAGCTGCAATACTGGAATTTAAAACATATTTTAAGAATGAAAAGCCTGGAAGAAGCATATCCTACTCTGAGATATAAATAGCTCTGCTTCAAGTGTCAGATTAGTCCTCCACTTAAACTTTTACAGAGCCTCATGATATTTCACCATTTCCACAAGCTACGTGCGCCCAGGGACTTTCAGGACTAATCCTCCTGAACACAGATTTATTGCAGCTTTGCCCTATCTTCAGACTATTCCATTCCCCTTCCTGCCATTACAGCCTTTGATGTATTCTGCATTTGAATGTCTTCATTTTTAAGCTTCTGGTGCATGTGCAAGCCATCAGTTATTGTCTGCACTGAGACAGTGCAGCCAGTAACAGGTTTGGGATTTTATTCTACTTATAATAAAAGACCTGATTTTGTTTTTTTAATTGAGACAGCAATCTGAGTTTAATTTATGTCCTTAAACAAGTTTTGTGGTTATCCAGAGCATTAAAAATTTTACACAGCTGAGATCTATCATGAGGGAGAAAGAAATGCTTGAAATGCAGATTTATGAACTACAGGTAATGAATGTTGATAGATCCTAGAGCACTCCTACTGCAATTACAAGCAGCTGTTTTCCAGAAAGACTAAGATTCCCAATAAAGTTTAAGTGCTTCCAGCTTTAGGAGGCACCACACTGTGTTAGTAGGTTGGTGACTCCCTCTCCTGCCTGCCTTTTCACATTCACACTAGACACAGGTCAGGCACAACTGGCTCTGGAAAAATCCTTAGGCAAATGCTGCTCATCATCCCCGCTGCCTGGGACACTGTACTGGTGCCACAGTTGTGGGTCTACAAGTGAAACAGGATCCTTTCTCCTGCTGCTGGAAACCACAAACTCCAAGCTTCTTGACAGCCACCCTCCACTGCCTGCTAGACAGTAGTCTCCAGCTGTCCTTCCCATCTCATGTTGTGCAGCTTTCATCTCTGCAAACGTCAGCTAAAACCCTGTCATTCCCCTCTTCCCTGAAAGCAACTGCTTGCTATTGCAGCAGAGAGCGACAGTAGCATTCAGCACTGCTGCTAAGAGGTTAAAAGAGTCACTAGATGGAAAGCTGCTTACTGCCACCACCTTTGACTTTCCTCAAGGTATGTAGACTGGCTTCAAAGTACAGGGACTGCCTTACAAGCCCTACAGGGAATGCAAAACAGAGCTGAGGGAAGCAGAGAACATAGATCAAGTGGTTCTGTTTTACCTTTCCTTGTAGCATAGAGACAAGGAGTGATTTAACAAGGATGAAAGATGAGATTACCAATCCGCAAGCTAGTTAGAGTCATATCACTTACTGCAACCAGAAATCAGTACTAGAGGTTTTATTATCTTTCTTCTGCATACTACAAATACTTCCAGACCTCACCCCCAATTAGCAATGCAGTGTCTTAGTCACACATACATTCATTTTTTGTTCTTAGATTATAGTAGTGATGAGTCACACCAAACTAACCAGTGCACCAAAATCTGCACAAATTGAGAGAAGACAATACAGTTGTCAGAATTACAGGAAAAAAAAAAAATGTAGAATATTTAGATCTCAGGTATGCAACAATTGCATAATTTGCTGCTGCACAAATAATTTGCACTGATGTTATAAAGTGCAACAAATTACTATTTTCTATGTAGCTTATGTGGGATGTGCAAAACTGCAGAAGTCAGCAGTACAGATATGCTGGCTTTTACGAAATAGCTGGCCACTGTAATTCCATGGTCTAGGAAACACTATATCAGCTTCTACTTCTGGATACACATGAATAAATCTGGTTGATATAGATGAACTAAATTACCATAAAGATCAACTTATTAATTGGGAACAAAACACTGCTCTATGAAACGTTCATTTAAAAGCATTTAACTGTGACTAATGTTAGTATACTGCTATGTGTGATCTTAAGCATTCCTAAGTAGCCATCTGACAAATGATTATTGCACATCTTCTCAGTAAGGTATATTTGGTACATGGCTGAATTAAATGAGGTCTTACCTCTGCTAATGCCCCTGACCTTTTCTACAACAAATGCAAAACCTGTTAAGACACATGCAAATCAGCCTAAGGAAAAGCATAAATATACCATTTCCATGGTACTTTACAGTATTCTAGAGCAGTTTTATGGACTTGCTAGATGTTCCTTATACGCAGCTAGAGAGATGGATTTTGTAGACTTAAGATAATTTGAAGAATGTCACAGTAATGAAGCATGTGGCTTTTTTTTTTTCTTTGAATTATGTCAGTTCTGTGCCAGCAAACATTGTAACGCCAATACAGATGCAAGTGTGCTTGGCTTTTAGCACATCAAAAATAAAATTTCTAGATGCATTCCTGTGGCATCAATTGACATGGAACTGGAGGACCAGGACCAAATCCAGATCAAGAAAATAGGTTATTTGCCTTCCTCATGTAGGAATTGATGGGGGGGGAGAGAGAGAAAACAATAAAATTGCAAGCCAAGTTTGCCCATTCACAGCTACAAAAGTTTTATAAGAATTTAAGAACACTTCTATCTCAAAAAAAAGGCAAATGTAGGTGATAACTTACTGGTCTGAGTTTGAAAACACCACTGTAAGTGTCTTTCTTAAATGGATCTTTAAAAGAATCTATAATTTGACCATTGTCCTCACATAGTCACTTAACATTTCTCCCAAGGAGTATGGGCTTAACAGCAAGTATTTGCTTAGATGCTCTGTGATTTACAATGCAACAGGAGGAGAGGAACAGACTTGTAAAAAGGCTTAGGCTATGAAGAATATCTTCAGGGACTGAATATCAGCTCACATGCCCTCTAGAAGGAGCAAAGATCTGGAAGATCTCAATGCTACTCTCAATGTTCATCAAGTAACCATCATATAATATTGTATTTCACAAGTGTTTGATAGCATCCTGCCATTTTTAAGAGATAATGTACAATTATCACAGTTAATGATAAACTGTTTATGAAACCATAAAAATAATCATATATTACCAATATTTCCACAGCATGAATGAAAATGCACGTACCTGTCAAACAAAATTAAAACAGCAGTAGGTGACAACAAAATTAACAAAGAAAATTGTCAGCAGTCCAAGTTATAAATATTTTGCAAAACAGTTTGAATATGTCTGAATTAAGGGCATCAAAAATAAGATGTCCAAGTAGAAATTTCACTAAATGTTCTCTGAAACACTGAACACTTTAGCACATGAAGTTTTCAGTCAAAATTCTGTTCTATGGTATTTAGCATATGCCAGGATGCGTTATACTGTAACCAGTATATTGTGCTGTGTAAATTATTTAACCATGTTTTACAAGATATGTAAAGCCTATGTGTCAGGAATCCATGTGCATAACCATTCTGTATTTAAACACACAGAAAAGCCACTATACAAGATTTTGCCTTTTCAAACAAGTAAAACGTGGTTTCAAATCTGATTTTTTTTTTCACCCTCCTCTTTCAGGATCACAACAACAGCTGCTTGCATGATGGATCTACGCAGATATCCTCTGGATGAACAAAATTGCACACTAGAAATTGAAAGTTGTAAGTTACTGGAGGGAGAGGGTTGGCCAGATGACAGCTGTGGATTGAAAGACATTCACAGTTTAGGCAAAACAGGAACAAGTTGTTCAAATACTGTGTGTCCAGTGAGCTTGCACACTGAACATACCTAATATATTTCCATAATACATAAGCCAAAATATCTTTAATTCACAATACTGGTTGATCCAAGATTGCAAGATGTCTTTCAAAATCTCTTGTCAATGAAGGGAGAAGAGTATTTCTTGATGATTAGATCAGAGGACAGCAACTGAGCACTGTCTATCTTCACTGCACAATCACCACAGAACTTGAATTAATTGCTTCACCTCAGTGCATTTAAATCTAACATCAAGATTAACAATTACTCCACATAGTGGCGGCAGGATTGATCAAATGCTTTTACCAAATGCTTGGAGGTTATAAAAGGAAACAACTTGCTCCTTCAGCACCAAGGTCAGTGACAGCTTTGTCAGCATCTTCCATGAGCACAGGATCAAAGTGTCATTGTCTTTATATCTTTTATAATGCTAGCATTTAGAGAAATGCCTATCTAAGTTTTTTAAAAGAATTTTGACTGTCTCATTGGTCAAACCAGCTGCTGCCACTGACCACAGAGCACTGTCTGAACAATCTGGCTAAGACTACATAAAGTCCAAGGCAAAATGATGCATCATTTTTCTAAGGATTTCCATTTTTCACATTACAACTGTTGCACTGTCAGAGGTAAGCAATATTTTCTTGTAATAATATTTCTCTCTAGAGTATGAGGTTTTAGGAAGGATTAACAGATTTCCCCAAATACAGAAGCTTGGTTCAATTTCCTGACGAGAGAGAAAAATCTTAGTATTTGAACCTCTGCTTTGATGGATAGTTTGGAGTGTTAAACAAACAGAGAACCAAGCTGATCCAGGATTAACCAAAATAATTTCCTAATAACTATGTCATCAATAAAAGTGATGTTTTCATTGTTTGTAGCACATCCTATTCAAGGAACTGAAAGTTCTCACAAGCCCAGTAAGTACAGTTTTCATTCTGCAGAAACTCATTAGATTTTGCTGTGGACTGAAAAGAGGTTAAATTCCTCATAACCCCACGGCATCAATCTTCAAAAGCATTCCATTAGTCTTCAGTTGCTTAGATTTGACAAAAACATTTTCACAGTGTCAAAACAGTGGAATATTCATGTATAAGACATTTAATAGCATTGCAATACAAATATAAAATAAACAAGTCTAAGCCAAAGCTGAAGTCACTTTGAATCTTAGAAAATGTAGCTGGGAAAAAAACCAGTTTATTTTGGAGTGCAGAGGTTTTCATCACTTGTTTATACATAAATGTAATATATCTCAAAGTATCTGTGAGGTGACGAATAGCAGGCACTGAAAAAAAAGCTTATAGTCAGTCTAGAGCACTTATGAGACACAAGATGGGCTCTCAGCCCAATGTTTATACTTGTTTATAATTTATACTTGATGGCAGCAGAAAGATGCCTTATTTAAAGCATACCTTCAAAATTACTTTCCATAATGAAGTATTTTGGGCTTTTGTAAGTGCACAACCAATATCAGCCTTAATATAAGTCAGTGGAGCTTTAGCTTTTCACTTGGATTTTAAACTGTTTGGTAAGAAACTTGAAAAGTTTTCCCAAAAAAATTATTTGCTTTTGCTCCTTTTCCTGGGATGTCATTTTATAGTGATTTTAGAGATTGTTTGCCAGGTTGAGAACAACAAACCTTCTATTTCACCAGCAAAAGATTTCAATCAAGTAAACATTCAAACATTCACAGTAGGCTTAATGAAAATTTATTAGAGAACATTGTCTGAATAGAATCTGCCCATTTATTTCTTTAGAGATTCAAAAATAATGGAGTTTGCTTTTAAAATCCTAGTGTTTTGGCATTGCAGGCAGACTTCTCGGAAAGAGAAGCAGAGAGACAGTGTCATCAAGGTTCCCTGTGAAGCACTTCAATAGCTGCAGTCCTGAGTCACCACAATAGCTTATTCTCTGTTCAACATTCAATACGCACATGGACACCTCTGGAAGGACATACTGGTTATGCACCAGGTTAAACCCCCTCAACAGATGCGGTAGCATGGCAAGCTGGGCCAAGTTGATATACATGTAATGAATACTTGTGTTAGGGCAACATGCATTAACTTTCCCTGTGCACCTGCTTTCAGTTAGCCTGTCCATATCCACATTGCTCTGAGTGATTGAAGCGCCCTGAACCCACACCCCTGTGTATGAATACATTTTCTTCTCATTCCTGAGAAGCAGAGGCATTAGGCAATTGTAACTTTCCTTTCCAGTGCTGCCCATCACACTACTGATCTCCCCAGTTACTTTCTACTAGTGCAAAACTCTCAGAGTCTCATAGTCCACCACCTCACAGGATCTACAGAGATGCTCCTTAAGCTGTGTGGCTGTCATACTCACCCTAGGGCTTTGCAGTTCCCTGATGGTTTTGGCACAAAACAGTTTTCTTGATGTTGCCTGCTGCTGCTTGGCTTAATCTTATTAAGATGTGCAATAGATGCATTTGGAGAATGAGTCATATCTTTTCAAAATAAAAGTGCATAACACACCTCTTAACTAACTTTTCTATCCAATCAGCAGAAGAAATGAATGTACATGCAATACTGCAGTAATCAAAATGGAAGACTTCATACTGAAGTTGCCTTCATATTGAATTCATACCTGAATTTATTTGCTGGGAGATAGTTGATTTGAAGTCTCCAGTCCAGTCATGACTAAAGCTGATCAAAGTACATGAGCATTTATCAGCTAGCAGCCCAAATAATGAAACCAGACTGACACTTCTCTGGCTCATACCTCTTTATCCATAAATGAAGCTTTGTAGGGATGAATGCTCAATGGGAATGGACTTAGTAATATCACTTAGGCCTCATCAAGAATCAAAATTAGCATCTGACAGAATAAGCAATTAAAATGCTAACACAATCAGGGATGACAGAACACAATGTCACCCATGTAGCCAGTCGCACATCCCCAGAAGAAAATTGCTTTTCAGATCTTTTGAACACTTGCTATGAATAATTCATGTCTCAAAAGATATATATGTTGATATATTAATACTTATTAAGTCTATCCAAAGAAATCAATAAAATATTTATTCACAGTTTGCCAAGAGGTCAAAATTGGCATAGTGCAGTACTACTCATGAGTATTTAGATCAGTTCTACTAACAACTGAATGATTTCCCAAAAGGACTAATAGACTAAGCTGCTACCTAGCTCTCAACAGCACGTAATCTAGCATAGACATAACAGGTCAGATCTTCAGCTAGTGAAATTTGGCATGGCTCCATTTTTGTCAATTAAGCCACCAGAACTCACACTGAGAATCTTCTATATCTGCTTTTTTATTAGTTGTTTCGAATGTTTGTTCCAAGTGCATGGCTCCTTCCTCAGCCCACCCTTTAAATTAGATCTGATCAGCAGAAACACAGTAAATTAATTCAGAAATCAAGACACACGTTCATGAGGAGTGTTCAATGCCTGTAGAAAATGCATACAACAATCTGGATTGTGAGCAAAAGACAAAGGGTGAATAATAAAACAAGTCAAAGGTCTGTATGGGCATGTAAAATATCTATCCTGCATTTAAACAGGAGTAGTTATTAAAATTATCTCCACTCTCCTGCACATGTAAATACATGGCTAGCATGGAGGTGCATACCTGCAGGTGCAATCACAAGCAGTGTGATTGTGCAATAGAAATAGCAAGCAAAAGCCAAACAGCTAAAGCAATACTGAGACACTAGACCATGACAAAGATGAATCATATGATTTTTACACCATTGTTAAACTCCCCCCCCCAAAAAAATGAACTTTATGAGCTTTATGTTTTTCTAATCCCATGCACAAGGACACTAGGGCTGCTGGTTCCCTGAATAGCATGCTTTGGAAAGCACATTGGTTAACAGATTTTACACACGGATTCACAAGTACTATATGATGTGCCATCCTGTCTTCTTGTCTTTGAAGCCCTGTCTTCTTCCTGAATGCAGTCTTGCTTATTTACCCAGGGTCAGCCTGTGGCTGGACTGTGCATGGATGTGAGCTTAGAAAGCTGCTGCAAATACAGCCCACTCTCCCTCCCCAGCTCCCCCTCAAGGTGACAGCTGCAAGATCTCCATCCCTAAGGGGTGGCAGGAAGGTGGCATCTGAGCGAGTCCTCTCCCGGTTCCCGGGTGCTTCCTCATCTCTAAATCAAGCAAGCTGGAGAGATATTTTCCCCTCCAAAAGCTCAGTTCTCCCCCATGCATCCACAACTGCACAGCCCTGTGGCAATGTCAGAGCTCACCAATACTGTAGCAAACATAACCTGGCCCTCTCTTTAAGTTCCCCAGTGTTTTTAAGGGAAACTTATTCTTACTGCAGAAGGGGCATGCTTCAAAGGAACCAGAGAGTCCCACAGGTGAATTGCTCTTAAGCTACTCAAAGAACAGATGAACATAGCACTGCTTGTGAACAGAAAGGCAGAGAGTCATCACACCTTTGAGGGATGCTGTGGAAATTAGCCAAAGAAAATCCCTGAAAATCTAAAGGGATAAGAATTGTTCCCTAATAATATTTACCAGTGAGTAATTTAAGGTATTGCAAATAGCAGCAAAACAACTGTGCTACACAGGAATGGGAAAAGAGCACAAAGAATCAAACACTGCCCTGTTATCAAACTTCTTCAGCAGAGCCGCCAATGCAGAGATAATACATGCCTATACTGAGCCAGCAGATTGTTTTCATTAAAAAATTACATTTCCAGCTTTCCTGAAGCTATCTTACCTGACTGCAGCAGCTATGTATGCACTGCTGTCAACCAGAGAAATGTATACATTTAGGAGAGGGAGAGCATTTTGGCTGCACATGTTCCTTCACATGCATTTTCACAGCTTTGCTCAAGCAGTTCACCTTACTTCAAATTCTGCCGTGGCAAATGGGGAGACCATATCAGAGGCTTTACACTTGTTTCAATGTCT